CCTACCTAAAACCCTTTGTGCAGAATTCTGACTGTACTATCTCAAATTGTTTGCTTGAAAAATAGATCTCTGACATCATTTTGTCTTCTTTTCCACATTACAGACAGTACGGTCCAGCGTTACAGGATTTAATAGATGCCATACAGATCGCCCCTGGCAACAAGGAAGTCAGACGACTCATGGTTCGGGTCAAAGAAGAGTGTAAAGAACAGACGAGAATGGAGCGGGAATCTGACAAGGATTCGGTTGAAGCAAATTCTGACATGACGAACAATGGAACACATGATTTGTCGTCTCCCGAATCACAAAGAATGCGATACCCTGATGTGTACAGTATGACCCGTGGATTAACGTGCAGCGAGAGTGCCAGCACCCTCAGGGACTCCAATAAGAACTTGAAAACTAGAGGCAGTGATACTGCCCTCTATGGTCAACATGTGAAACACGAGCAGCGGCGATTAAGATTAGAGCGGTTACAAGATGACTTTCAGCGGAGCCTGGATAAAGATGTCCCATACTATGATCTACCGACTCCTACTGCAATTAGTACGGGCAGGGGTGCTACTGCCCTCTAGTGGCAACATTGAGAAATGTTAAATTATATCTGTAAAGCTGCCAAGTTATTCAATTGCCGAACGCATGCCCCGATTAAAGCAATATAATATATGCATACAATTTAAATTAAAATATATTGTATTACTCCATTATCTTTTCTAACCTGACAAGTTGCAGCTTGTTTGATATTTAAGGATGGCGGTTGTTGTGTCGCATTGCGTCTAATATGGGTTCCATAGCGGATTATACAACTCATGAAAAATATGTTCCTGTTGACTGCGAGATCCTGCATTATGCGTGAAATTGAACGAAAAAACAGGACAAAACATCCGAACATGGCGTTGGATTCATCAAACACAACAATATTTTTGTGTATTTCTATGCTTCATAATACCCATTTGATGGTAATGATATCTCAATGCAATATTCCCCTCTCAAGGATCGCCATTACGACATTGAGCTATAAAAAAGAAACATAAATTTAAAATCAAATCGTTCAATCTTTGACAGACGTTCAGTCCGCGCCTTTCACGCAATGTGCAAGATCTCGAGGTGAATGGAATATCACCTATTTTCACAAGCATAATGAGTGATTCATTCAATAGCAGTGATATATTTCATTCCTATAATAGAAATACACTCCTATAGAATACAATGAAATGTTATAATCCCATATAATTAAATCCTGTACATTTTAAAACATTTTCTTTTACAAGGAGCATTCAGAATTTATACAATTCTGCTTTTTTTTTAACAGCAACTTTTATATTGAAAGGAACCTAGGCAATAAACTGATGTTTGTTGTAATATTATTATTCTTCATTTCATACAACTGGTATGTTTTTTTAAGAGTCCACATATTTTAAGTCCTTTATATAGTGATGATAATCAGTGCAGACGTTTGCAAAATTATTTTTGAACAATTTCAACATGTCAACTTGTATCCAGATTCCAATATGGCCGCCATTTGTCATTGAATAGCGCCCTCTGTAAAACTTCCAAAATCAATTCATGGATTCAATCCATTTTTTTTGTCTGTTCAGCCATCGAGCTAGACTCTTATCTGCATGGTTCACTAAATTCTGGAATTTGTAAGTTCATAATATTAATTTGTTTTCTGCCAAATTTTAATTTTTTAATTTTGCATTCAGGATAATATAATTTTATAAATACTGTAATCAAATTCCTATTTGATGAAATTTACTATCACCTACCTACCACTGTAATCACTTTGGAAAACTTAAATGAAATATTTACCATTAAACCCACTGGCTATTATTGGACATTAAACTTTTGTCATCTTCCATAAAATTGCATAATTTTTTTAATGTTTTTCTTTCAAAAATTTGAATCAAGAGCTTGCAGGCAATTGGAAATGTTGTCCTTTTGTACAAAAGTAACAAATTACTGAAAAAATGCTGTACACTGTATTTGCTTTATTAGTTACAGGTGTGTTTCTATGGAGGAAAAAAAATAATAATTTAATGATTCAGTATTGATTTGTGCACTTCTATTAGAGCTGTGCTTCTAATAGCATAAATATGGTTAAATAAAAATGTTAAATTTTTAGCGGGAAAAATTCTAGCACTCAAAGGGTTAAGAATGACAAATTTATGATATCCCATAATGCATTGCTCTTTAAATTGAATCTTTTTTAGGAGACCCACATCCATTTTTAGATTGCGTTTTTTTGGAGTAAGTAGTCTGTCAACTGTTTGTATGTATGTATTTCTTGTATATATACTAGTCGTCTTTTCTCATTGACAATCTGTTTCATGTACCACATATGCATCCCCAGTACGTACTCAGAAAGTAGTAAATTACAAAGTTTAAAATTTTAAAGTAAATAACATTTTAGATGTGGATCACAAGATTGATAAAATTTTAATATTTTTTAATATTTATAATGTATGTTTGAGAAGAAAGTTTGGTAATAATTCCGAAATAATGCAACCGCATGCAATGTTCTCATTGTGAAATGCATTTTGTAAATTACAACATAAAATATTTTGTAAATATTCATTTGTAAATTGAATTTTAAATATTAACAGTTTGAAGTTAATAAACTTGTGTTACATGTCAAAGGTGCAATCCCTCATTCTTGATTGGGTAGTTCTGCACATGCTCAGTTTTGTCATTACCGGTACCATTTGCCCATGCTCACAACATGGATTCTGATTGGGCTGTGCCAAAGGGACTTAATAATTATGTAAATACTGTGTTTAGTTATTCATACAAAACTGTAATGCAACAGCCATATTGGTTTTCATATAATTTGTTGTCATCTTTTGCATGAATTACAAATATAATTTAAATGCAGCCAAATTTTTTTATATTTTGCATTGATCATCACGTTACTCAGTTTTCATGCCACTGCCACTGCTAATGTAATGAATATTTGTGTTTCACATCCTCACATTAAACATCGACCCTTAGAACAGCAAAGTTAATCTTTGTTCAGTTTGAAGAAATAAATTGACACATGATTTTTTTCATAATCTTTGCCCCAATTTTGTTCAAGAATTGCTGTCAAATGGAAATATGTGTCCATTTAATAATTATAAATTAAACGGCAGTAGTGTTTGCGCCATGTGTGAAATTTGTGTTGAGAAATCATGACTTTCCAACAACCCAGTGTATTCTTAAAGTGACAATCAAGTTTTATACTGGCTGTAATGTGCACTAAATACTCTTTAGAGTCCCACGATGTGTTACAGTTAAAGATAAACTTTGGTAACATCTCGTTCTTTATATGTGCTGATATGCCCACTATCAAATTGATATTGGTAATATAGTCTAATCTTGTGCATGCATGGTGTGATGACGACGACGACGACGACAACAACAACGACCATGACCACCATCACCATCTTTTATTACAGAATTTATAGAAAAAAATTTCACCAACAATTTAGTGAGTGAATTGACAGTACTCATTACAAATTAAGCCATCATTTATAGAAATCTTACTTTCCAGAGAAAATCAAGGAAAACTATTTTTGACAAATTCATGTTTTTATAAACCAGTTCCACCTTTCAGAACACGTGGAATAAATTATTTCATCATTTTGGTACTTTGCCAATTGTCAGTCACACTTTGTTACATTATTATTGTACAGAGCAGTTTTACAAAAATATGTACTGTTATGTTACCGGTGTTTAATCAGAATTAAAACAGTCTTGTTTGATTTGGCTGTGTTTATGCTGACAACTTTGAAGATTTTTTCGTTTTTTAAGCTTCTGTTGTGTAATGCGGAATATAAAAGCTTGTGTTGCACCTGCGCATTAATTTCACAAAACTGCAATTCGCACGATTGATCCTATTTCTGTTACCCCCGGTATATATACTCCTAACTTTTCAAACCTGCAGTATTTCTGATAATTGTAAACTGGCCACACTTCGTATGCAGAGTGTAATCACTACAGGTAGCTAGACACAACTTGTAAACTGTTATTGTAAATCAGACCTTGGACCTATATTAAAAAGACTGCAGTTTTAATCAAGGTGCAACTGTAGTTGACAGAGTTCTTGCAAAAAATATTGAAAAAGTTGGTCATAGGTAGGGTGCAAACAACACAACATGTAGAACCTCTAACAATCGGGGCTATTGTGAATTTCAATGGAAATTTCTCGGCAAAGGCCATTAGAATGATCATTTCAGTGTCATGTGATATACATTTAATAATCCATGACAAATGACGAAGCGTACAATAGCTCTTGTATTTATGTATGTTAATCCCTACCATATTTGCTCTATTAGAAGTGCATCTTAGACAGTCACTGTAATTTAACGAGTAAACTCACATGTGCTACTAATAGAGCTAATTTGAATGGATGAATGAAACTGATTGCTAAATCATTTTATCAGAATATAAGTCTAAAACAGTCACTTGATAGTCTGAATTCAGAGATATAAACTCAGTTTTGGCAAAAGTGTTTAGTGTGTAAGAATAAGAATTTGACCAAAATTATGGATTTCTATCTGTAAACCCACAGTATCGATTAGTGTTTCTATTAGAAATGCATTTGTTGGTATCTCAGCTAATTCAATAATATTCTAATTCAAGCATTGAGCCAAATTCACTCTGTTGATGTATAACAAGTTTGGTCACAGCGCCCTCTAACTGATGTATGTAATAATCTTTTGTTTCTGATAATTTTTGGTATTTATTCAAATTATAAGCATAAAAAAAGTTGTAAAGTACATAGATGAAACAAGAAAATTATATTCAATAATTTATTGTCACCATGAGAGATGCCATTGCCAAGTTTGAATGAAATCAACTATTGAAACCATTCTTGAAAATGGTTGTTGACAGCTTAAAGTGTTGGATTTTTTTTGGATAAAAATTGCCACAGTGGGTTAAGTAAATGAGAACAAATCAAAGTACACTGTATCCCATTATGACTAGACTTTGTACCACTT